CACATAGTTGGAAGTAAAGCACTCCTCAGCAAATGTAAAAGAACAGAAATTATAACAAACTGTCTGTCAGACCACAGTGCAATCAAACTAGAACTCATGACTAAGAAACTCACTCAAAACCGCTCAACTACATGGAAACTGAACAACCTGCTCCTGAATGACTACTGGGCACATAACGAAATGAAGGCAGAAATAAATATGTTCTTTGAAACCAGTGAGAACAAAGATATAACATACCAGAATCTCTGGGACACATTTAAAGCAGTGCGTAGAGGGAACTTTATAGCACTGAATGCCCACAAGAGAAAGCAGGAAAGATCTAAAATTGACACCCTAACATCACAATTAAAAGAACTAGAGAAGGAAGAGCAAACACATTCAAAAGCTAGCAGAAGGCAAGAAATAACTAAGATTAGAGCAGAACTGAAGGAGATAGAGACACAAAAAACCCTCCAAAAAATCAATGAATCCAGGAGCTGGTTTTTTGAAGAGATCAACAAAAGTGATAGACTGCTAGCAAGACTAATAAAGAAGAAAAGAGAGAAGAATCAAATAGACGCAATAAAAAATGATAAAGGGGATATCACCACCGACCCCACAGAAATACAAACTACCATCAGAGAATACTATAAAAACCTCTACGCAAATGAACTAGAAAACCTAGAAGAAATGGATAATTTCCTGGACACTTACACTCTCCCAAGACTAAATCAGGAAGAAGTTGAATCCCTGAATAGACCAATAGCAGGTTCTGAAATTGAGGCAATAATTAATAGCCTACCAACCAAAAAAAGTCCAGGACCAGATGGATTCACAGCCGAATTCTACCAGAGGTACAAGGAGGAGTTGGTACCATTCCTTCTGAAACTATTCCAATCAAGAGAAAAAGAGGGAATCCTCCCTAACTCATTTTATGAGGCCAACATCATCCTGATACCAAAGCCTGGCAGAGACACAACAAAAAAAGAGAATTTTAGACCAATATCATTGATGAACATCGATGTAAAAATCCTCAATAAAATACTGGCAAACCGAATCCAGTAGCACATCAAAAAGCTTATCCACCATGATCAAGTGGGCTTCATCCCTGGGATACAAGGCTGGTTCAACATATGGCAATTAATAAACATAATCCAGCATATAAACAGAACCAAAGAAAAAAACACATGATTATCTCAATAGATGCAGAAAAGGCCTTTGACAAAATTCAAAACCCCTTCATGCTAAAAACTCTCAATAAATTCGGTATTGATGGAACGTATCTCAAAATAATAAGAGCTATTTATGATAAACCCACAGCCAATATCATACTGAATGGGCAAAAACTGGAAGCATTCCCTTTGAAACTGGCACAAGACAGGGATGCCCTCTCTCACCACTCCTATTCAACATAGTGTTGGAAGTTCTGGCTAGGGCAATAAGGCAAGAGAAATAAAGGGTATTCAGTTAGGAAAAGAAGAAGTCATATTGTCCCTCTTCGCAGATGACATGATTGTATATTTAGAAAACTCCATCATCTCAGCCCAAAATCTCCTTAAGCTGATAAACACCTTCAGTAAAGTCTCAGGATAAAAAATCAATGTGCAAAAATCACAAGCATTCTTATACACCAATAATAGAGAGTTAAATCATGAACTCCCATTCACAATAGCTTCAAAGAGAATAAAATACCTAGGAACCCAATTTACAAGGGATGTAAAGGACCTCTTCAAGGAGAACTACAAACCACTGCTCAGTGAAATAAAAGAAGACACAAACAAATGGAAGAACACACCTTGTTCATGGATAGGAAGAATCAATATCATGAAAATGGCCATACTGTCCAAGGTAATTTATAGATTCAATGCCATCCCCATTAAGCTACCAATGAGTTTCTTCCCAGAATTGGAAAAAACTGCTTTAAAGTTCGTATGGAACCAAAGAAGACCGCGCATTGCCAAGACAATCCTAAGCCAAAACAACAAACCTGGAGGCATCACGCAACCTGACTTCAAACTATACTACAAGGCTACAGTAACCAAAACAGCATGGTACTAGTACCAAAACAGAGATATAGACCAATGGAACAGAACAGAGCCCTCAGAAATAATACCACACATCTACAGCCATCTGATCTTTGACAAATCTGACAAAAAACAAGAAATGGGGAAAGGATTCCCTATTTAATAAATGGTGCTGGGAAAATTGGCTACCCATAAGTAGAAAGCTGAAACTGGATCCTTTCCTTACTCCTTATACGAAAATTAATTCAAGATGGATTAGAGACTTAAATGTTAGACCTAAAACCATAAAAACCCTAAAAGAAAACCTAGGTAATACCATTCAGGACATAGGCATGGGCGAGGACTTCATTTCTAAACACCAAAAGCAATGGCAACAAAAGCCAAAATTGACAAAGGGGATCTAATTAAACTAAAGAGCATCTGCACAGCAAAAGAAACTATCATCAGAGTGAACAGGCAACCTACAGAATGGGAGAAAATTTTTGCAATCTACTCATCTGACAAAGGGCTAATATTCAGAACCTACAAAGAACTCAAACAAATTTACAAGAAAAAAACAAACAACCCCATCAAAAAGTGGGCAAAGGATATGAACAGACACTTCTCAAAAGAAGACATTCATACAGCCAACAGACACATGAAAAAATGCTCGTTATCACTGGCCATCAGAGAAATGCAAATCAAAACCACAATGAGATACCATCTCACACCAGTTAGAATGGCGATCATTAAAAAGTCAGGAAACAACAAGTGCTGGAGAGCATGTGGAGAAATAGGAACACTTTTACACTGTTGGTGGGATTGTAAACTGGTTCAACCATTGTGGAAAACAGTATGGCGATTCCTCAAGGATCTAGAACTACAAATACCATATGACCCAGCCATCCCATTACTGGGTATATACCCAAAGGATTATAAATCATGCTGCTATAAAGACACATGCACACGTATGTTTATTGCAGCACTATTCACAATAGCAAAGACTTGGAATCAACCCAAATGTCCATCAGTGACAGATTGGATTTGGAAAATGTGGCACATATACACCATGGAATACTATGCAGCCATAAAAAAGGATGAGTTTGTGTCCTTTGTAGGGACATGGATGCAGCTGGAAACCATCATTCTCAGCAAACTATGGCAAGAACAGCAAACCAAACACTGCATGTTCTCACTCATAGGTGGGAATTGAACAATGAGATCACTTGGACACAGGAAGGGGAACATCACACACTGGGGCCTATTGTAGGGTGGGGGGAGGGGGAGGGATAGCATTAGGAGATATACCTAATGTAAATGATGAGTTAATGTGTGCAGCACACCAACATGGCACATGTATACATATGTAACAAACCTGCACATTGTGCACATGTACCCTAGAACTTAAAGTATAATTAAAAAAAAAAAAGAAAAAAGAAAAGAAAAACTTGTTCCTTCTACTGTAGGCTTGACAGCTTTTCAATTCTTAAAAGCATTTTAAAGATTGGTGGTTAAATTAAAAGTGATTTTTGACACAATAAAACATTAACCAATATATTCCAAGTAACTAATGCATAATATTATAAATGCAAGTATGGGGCAAAAGATCCATTTACTGTGCAAGAAAGATCAATGAGTACTGATGGAATAAATTTATTAATATGGAAAATGCCACCATAACTAATTTAAGAAACTAGCACTTGTGAAGTTTTGATTTAGTATTAAAGAATACCCCCAACTGTCTGCAAACTTTAAAAATACACCTTTTATCAGCTACACAGTTGCATGAGGTTAGGTCACTTTATTGCTTCTTTTTTTCTTTTTTTGAGACGGAGTCTCCCTCTGTCGCCCAGGCTGGGGTGCAATGGCGAGATCTCGGCTCACTGCAACCTCTGCCTCCTGTGTTCATGCGATTCTCCTACCTCAGCCACCCAAGTAGCTGGGACTACAGGCATGCACCACCGCGCCCAGCTATTTTTTGTACTTTCAGTGGAGGCAGGTTTCACCATGTTGATCAGACTGGTCTCAAACTCCTGACCTCAAGTGATCTGCCCACCTCAGCCTCCCAAAGTGCTGGGATTACAGGTGTGAACCACCGCACCCAGCTGTCTTATTGCTTTTTTTTTTTTTCTTGAGATGGAGTCTTGCTCTGTCACCCAAGCTGGAGTGCAGTGGCGTGATCTTGGCTCACTGCACCCTCCGTCTCCCTGATTCAAGTGGTTCTCCTGCCTCAGCCTCCAGAGTAGCTGGGACTACAGGCGCGTGCCACCATGCCCAGCTAAGTTTTTGTATTTTTAGTAGAAACAGGTTTCACAGTGTTAGCTGGGATGGTCTCGATTTCCTGACCTTGCAATCCGCCTGCGTTGGCCTCCCAAAGTGCTGGGATTACAGGCCTGAGCCACCCCGCCCAGTCTCTTATTGCTTCTTTAGAGCAAATTGCAAAGAAAGATCTAGAGAATCCAGTTGTCTCCTATGAAGGTCAACATAAGACTTTAAATAATATAAATACATGACACACTTTTTACTCCACTTTTTGTTGTAGAAAAGTTACTTTTTCGATGAAAAATTTCTGATAACAATATTGTTCTCTAGGAATATTTTCTGTTGTCACAACCTGGGCCATGGGTTACTACTGACATCTAGTTGGTAGTGGCCATGAATGCTGCCAAACTCTCTGCAATGCACAGGACAGTCCTCACAACAAAGCGTTATCTAGCTCATAATATCAACAGTGGTAAGGCTGTGAAATCTAAACTAAAAATAGATTTTGAAAAAAAAAACTCTGTTATATTTCTACCACAATAAATATCAATATAATCAATATAAACACTCTCGGAGATTCTCAATCATTTAAGAATTAAAAGAGTCTTAAGGAACAAAGAAAACACAAATAATTTGCTTCAATATTTTAGCAGGCACAATACAGCTTATGATGTCTAGAGCTGTGACCTAACACTGAGCTTGGTATCTTGCAAAGTAATTAGCTAGAATAACAAGACAGGTTTCGAAAAGGCTCACCTTTGCGTGATATCATGATGTATCTCCAAGGTCACTCTGTGGAAGGAAAAACAATTCATAACAATAGATGTTATCATTTGTTAGGCCTGAAGACACTTTTTAAAATGGGGGCAGAGGAAACTCTCCTAGCGGCCCTGAAATTCAAATTTTCTAGTTCAGAACAGCACCATAAGGGCACTTTGTTTCATTTCTTGGTTTTTTGCAAAAATATGAGAACAAAAATGTGAGGCAATATGCTGTTAGAAGACACGTTTCTGTTGACGATTATAATATATAAATAATAACAGATTTCCCTGTTATATGCTCTTCTACCTGCAAAGCCTGTCATCCCATGCGATTTATTTTATGTAGTTATTTATTTTTGACTTAGAGTCTCGCTCTGTTGCTCAGATTGGAGTGCAGTGGTGCGATCTTGGCTCACCACAACCTCCACCTCCCAGGTTCAAGTGATTCTCATGCCTCAGCCTCCCAAGTAGCTGGGATTACACATTTGTACCACTATGCCTAGGTAATTTTTTTTTTTTTTTTTTTGAAATAGAGTTTTGCTCTTGTTGCCCAGGCTGGAGTGCAATGGTGCTGATCTGGGCTCACCACAACCTCTTCCTCTCAGGTTCAAGCAATTCTCCTGCCTCAGCCTCCCGAGTATTTGGGATTACAGCAATGCGCAACCGCACCCAGCTAATTTTGTAGAATGAGGCTCAAAACAACTGAGGGAAGGAAAAATCTCAATTTTAGTTAATAGGTCTACACAATATTAGCACTTGTGAAAAAGCCTATAACATTAGCATGTAAGATGGATATGTCTACAGTGCTTCAAGTAGTTTTCATCTCTGAAATAATTTCACAATCACAGAATTTAAAGTTACATGCTGGAAAGGACCAATGACCTTACATGACATTTAATTCAACACTCATTTTACAGATCAGGGAAACAAACCTTAAAAACTGACTTGCCCAAGGTCCCACCAAATAGGAGCAGTTTCTCGTCCTAAACTCAAATGAAGCCGTGGCTCTCAAACTTTGCTGCACATTAAAATCACCTGAGAAGCTTTAATAATGGCCTCATCTTCAACATGAGACATTTTAATTTAATTACTATTGGATATGACTTTGGTCATCAAGGTCGTTGGTAAAAGTTTCCCAGGTGATTTCAATGTGCAGCAAAGTTTGGAATGATAGAGCTGGGGTGAAAATCAGAATCTTCTGGGATGCCTTTCTCCACATAAAGATGCCTCACATCCATCCCATTTTCCTAAAAGGCTTCTCAGTGCCTAGAGATAGAGGGAAAGTGGAGATGGGAAGATACATGTGTTTGCAGACATGTATTTTGAAAAAAAAAAAAACCTTGCATAAGTGATCTCAGTGAGTTCCACCTATCCCACTGACAACACTGCACTACTGACTCATGATAAACATTTTTCAAAATCTTTTCTTGAAGCCAATTTGCCCTATTAATTTGCTCAATAAAACTTTATTTAACCAATAGTGAATATACCAAATGATTATTTCTCAAACTTGCTGACGGCAAATTAAAACTGACTTTACTTTCAAAAGTAGACTTCTACAAAGTAGAATAATGAGAAAAAAAGCATGAAATTTGTTTGAGCAAGATTAATCTTCAAAGCTACTTTTGAATTGTATGCTAACACATCAAAATCTTTTGAACTCAAAAGAAGCCAGGGACTCTAGGTAAAGCAGTTTTGGTGTATGTGTGCTCAAAGATTTAAGAGACTCAGCTGACTACAGACATTTAGTGATTACTCAATAGGTCCCAAAGCTCAGGACTTGAGACAGAGTTTGAGTCCAGTTTTTGCTGAAACACAATTTCATCACAACTATTGTTAAAAGGGAGGGAGGAAAGTGACATTATTATGAGTGTAAACTTGCCATTTTTAATGGCAGTAAAAGTTACTGCCAATTGAATTCGCTAAAAAGACTAGTGCATTTGAAACAAAATTGTTTATAAGCTAGTTATGTTTACAGAATGAATAGTAAAATTAAAGACATTAATATTCTAAATGAGCACTTTCCAAACTGTGTTCTAATAAATTAGCACTTTCCAAACTGTGTTCTAAAAATCAACACTCCTATCCCAAGGAGATGATAATAATGTACACTGGACAGCCCCTATGTAGCTGGTGCTGGTGTTGGTTGTTCCTTTTAAAATAAGCTTCATCTCAGGGTGATCTCAAAGCGCATCTTTGTGGCCCACGAGGTGCTCATGCACAATGGGAGAAATTCAAATGCAGATACACTGTGGTGCCAGAAGAGGAAAAGCTGTTCCTTCTTCCCAGGCTAATGTCCAAAGTAGTACACACTGATTTAGGTCTATAATGCATTGAAAAACTAAGTTTTCACAAAAAACATTCAATAAAGGGAACCTATCCTTCTCACTGTGTTCAACATTGTCTAAAGGCAAACAGGCATCAAAAAGATACACTGTTTCTGGGATTGCTTCTCTGCTAACTGATTTTTTCCTTCCACCAGGAAGTCTAAAATTAAAAGATAAATTGATACTTAATATTTAGAATCTGGATATCAATAATATATAGTTGATTCTAATTTCTTAAACTGATTGTGGAAGAGGACAACCAAATGGCTGAAATAATTTTAGAATAAACGAATCTGTCCCTTGGCAGTATAGTTGTACTCACGATATTACTGTCATTGTAAGATAAGGCTGGCTGGCTGTGCTGTCAAGGAATATTGTCAAACATGAGCTGTATTGTTGACTGAAATGCACAGTAGATACCTGAAGGGGAAGGGAAATATAAGTTAAACTTATCAAAGTTTTCTTTGTTAAAATATGAAATGACAAAGCACTAAGATATTTCTTACACTCCATGAACTGCCTGAGTGCGGTATCATGTGCACTCTACAGAAAACCCATTGGAGGCTCTTAACTTCCAGAGACGATGTTTAAGATACGGGTTATAAAATGCTGCCCTTCATATGGTACCTGTCATCAAACCTAACAAGGATTTTATGAATTCCCTTTAAAAATCATGAGAAAAGTTTAAAATAAGATTTCATTGTTTTTTTCTACAGCAATATAAAGCAGCTGAGAATTTCTATTTCTATGATTTATTTACTACAATAAAATGTAATGCATTAAATAATACTGGTACAAGAGCATTTTATTGCAGTGAATACAAGACTAATGCATTTACTAAATTACTCATCCTAAATGTATTATTTCAGGCGATATTGTGACAAAACAAGTGTTTCAGATTCAGAGGCTCTGTGTGCCAGGGCTGCTAGGCCACCAACAAGTGAGGAAGCCATAGGTTTCTCTAGTCCTATTTTCTTATGTGGAAGATAAAAAGAGTATCACTTAAATATTCTCTCACACCCTGAAAACAGAGGACAACTTAAAAAATTTAACTTTCACTTCATGTTTAAATAAGACTGCCATGACATGACTCAAATGAGACTCTCAGAGAATATTTTCCATTCATTTCAAAACTTGATCCATTTCATTCTATAAATCATCTGACCTGCACCTAGTCATTTTCCTGCTCTAGCCCTGCTCTCTGCCTAGAATACTGCTTTTCTCTTTCCTTGTTTCAGCAAGCTCGACTCCATCTACCCTCTTGGATCTCTTTGTTGGCAGCCTCACCAATACATGTCTTTTTGTACACTAGTTAGTTGAAGTCACCACTGCTAACAAGATACAAATTCTTGCAGAGTGTTCCCCTCATGAGAAAGTATGCCTCTCCATAACAGTAAGGGAGGGCCCCTACTCTTCCTATCTCCAGCTGCTGAGCATAGAATTTTGAGTAAATCCAAAACTTTGACAAGTGTTTGACAATTTGGTTATCATTTGGAAGATAAATCTTACTACATTCAATTACAGCAAAAACATTACTAACAGTTTACTATTTATAGGTATTATTTAAGGTAGTCACAAAATAGAAACAAATAATCTAACGTCAGTCAGCATAAATTAGAGCATGAAATTTTATGCTCTTTAACAATAAATGGAAGGGGTTACTTAGTAGTTTTAAGGTTTAATGCCAAAAACTAGAAAATAATAGTACCTAGTAACTTAGTAAGTAAAAAAAAAAAAAGCCTTACCATCAAAGGTCCAGTACTTGTTGGACACCGAAGCCCACCCACTGATTTCTTCCACTGTACCTGCTGCCTCTCATTTTAACCCATTAAAAATACTAATGTTGTTTTCCTTGTAGAGGTCTTTCACCTCCGTGGTTAGGTCTATTCCTAAGTATTTTATTTTATTTTATTTTGCAGGTATCATAAAGGGGTTGAGTTCTTGGTTATTATAAGCTTGGTCGCTGTTGGGGTATAACAGAGTTACTGATTTGTGTACATTAATTTTGTCTCCTGAAACTTTCCTGAATTCATTTAACAGTTCCAGAAGCTTTTGGGAAGAGTCTTTAGGGTTTCCTAGGTATATGATCATATCATCAGCAAACAGCAACAGTCTGACTTCCTCTTTACCGATCTGGATGCCTTTTATTGCTTTGTCTTGTGTGATTGCTCTGACTAGGCCTTCCAGTACTATGTTGAATAGAAGTGATGAGAGTGACTGCTGCAAACCTTAGTTACATCCTAGGAAAAAGAATACTTCCTAAAATAAAACTAAGGTATCATCCTTACCCTTCTCTTTGTCTCACCCAGAAATATGATGGGGGGAATTACCTGCCCTAACCCCTTCCTCAAGAAATATATTACTGTACTCTGGAATTTAGACAAAACCTTAAATCTCCAGGCTTTTTAAAGCACAAAATATAAATAAAAGCTGGGAAAGTAAACCAAAATTCTTCAGATTGTTCCTCATGAATATCCCCCTTCCTCTGCAATTCCCCAGAGTGGTAACGGATGGGTAGAGGCAGCTCAGGTGAATTACCCAGCTTGCCCCTCAACTCATTCCTCCTCCTCCTCTCAAAGGCTGAAGGCACGGCCTTTCCAGTCCTCATGACCTGCCCTTCACCTAGTCCCTCCTGACCTAGGGATGGAGGCTTTGAGTCCCACAGTGTGGTAATACAGAGCACTAGTTGTCACTGCCTGGCTTTATTTAAAGGAAATGCAGTAGGCTTCCTCTGTAGAGCTCTGAAAAGGTTGACTGTACAGAGGTCTTTTATGTTTTTACTTGGTGAAGTATTTCTCACATCTTTTGTTATCAGAGTACCATTCCAATCTCTTGCAGTTGTGTGGAAAATTGTTTTGTAATGAAAGATCTTCCCTGGGGGATTGAGCAGCATTTAGTAACGTCTATGTTTGTAAAAATACAATAAAACAAAAAAATAAGTGGTGAGAGTGTGCATCCTTGTCTTGTTCCAGTTCTCAGGGGGAATGCTTTCAAATTTTCCCCATTCAGTATTATGTTGGCTGTGGGTTTGTCATAGATGGCTATTACATTGAGATATGACCCTTGTATGCCGATCTTGCTGAGGGTTTTAATCATAGAAGGATGCTGCATTCTGTCAAATGTTTTTTCTATGTCTGTTGAGATGATCATGTGATTTTTTGTTTTTAATTCTGTTTATGTGGTGTATCACATTCATTGACTTGTGTATGTTAATCCATCCCTGCATCCCTGGTATGAAACCCATTTGATCATGGTGGATTATTATTATTATTATTATTTTGAGATGGAGTCTTGCTCTGTCACCCAGGCTGGAATGTGCAGTGGTGTAATCTTGACTCACTGCAACCTCCACCTCCCAGGTTCAAGCAATTCTCCTGCCTCAGCCTCCTGAGTAGCTGTGATTACAGGCACGCACCACCATACCCAGCTAATTTTTGTATTTTTAGTAGAGACAGGGTTTCACCATGTTGGCCAGGCTAGTCTTAAACTCCTGACGTCCTGATCCACCTGCCTCGGCCTCCTAAAGTGCTGGGATTACAGGCGGGAGCTACCGCGCCAGGTTGGATTATTTTTTTGATATGCCGTTCGAACTACAAACCATAGTTGAAAGAAATCATGGACACAAACAAATGGAAAGACATCCCATGCTCATGAATCGGTAGAATGAATATTGTGAAAAGGACCATACTGCCAAAAGCAATCACAAATTCAACACAATTCCCATCCCAAACTATATATCCCAGGTTTAGGCCATGGTATCTCTGAGCCAGAAAAACCTCACACTGAGCGCTATCAGTTAACAGAAGTCCTGCTTCCAAATAAAGCAGACCAGGGACCACCACACATTGGAGGGAAGCCTCCAACAAAAGAGATCAAAACAACAGAAAAAAGGAATTCATGAGACCAGACAAAATCAGGAGCAAAACTTTAAAAAAAATCTTAAAATACTCTCAAAAATATAAAATTCAATAAAAATGTAGAGGATAAAATGACAGAATATCCCAGAAATGGAATAAAAAGACAAACTGAAAAAAACAGAAGGGGAAAAATTAAAAACCAATGTCTGTATAGTGGTCTAAGCAGCCTAGCATCTGAATAACAAGACTATCGATAAAAAAGTAACGGAACATAAAAAAATTCTCAAGAAGAGATAGTCTGCAGGTTTAGTAGCCTCAATAAAATGAGAAGATCCCCACCAAGCTGTGACTGTTTTTTTTGTTTTGTTTTGTTTTTTTGAGATGGAGTCTCACTCTATTGTCCAGGCTGGAGTGCAGTGGAGCAATCTGGGCTCACTGCAACCTCCGCCTCCTCGGTTCAAGTGATTCTCCTGCCTCAGTCTCCCAAGTAGTTGGGACTACAGGCGCACGCCACCACTCCTCGTTAGTTTTTGTATTTTTAGTAGAGATGGGGTTTCACCGTATTGGCCAGACTTGTCTCGAACTCCTGTCCTTGTGATCCACCCACCACAGCCTCCCAAAGTGCTGGGATTACGGGCATGAGCCACTGTGCCTGGCTCCCACCAAGCTGTTATTATAAAATTTCAGAACCTCAGAGATAGAAAAGATCCTAAAAAGTTTCCACAGCTACCTAAAACTTGGGTGTAAATAGTGTATCACACACTGGCAATAGATTCAAGAACAACATTGTAATGAGAGCACAACTGCAAAATGTCTTCAGAAACATAAAATTTAGATTCAACCTAGAGGTGTCCTCTCTATCAAAGAGGAGGGATTTTAAGATTGGCCAGCTCTCTAAACATCTCCACCCAGGACAATGTGTTGAAGTACAAATAGAGAGGATAACAGGACAGAAGGAAACACAGAATCAGGGACTCAGGGACAGAATCAGGGACTCAGATGATCCCACACAAGAGAGCAGTTATGTGAGATCCCAAAAGACTTTAAGGAGATAGCACTGAAAAGCAGACATCGAGCGTATCTAGGGAAAGCCACTCTATATTGAGCTAGGATGACAAAAGGCCAAAGAAAGTTGCCCTTCTACAAAGAAAAAAAGGAACAAATGTGTTTTCACAGACAGAAAATATCTTTGAAAGGCATGTGATAAATGCTACAATACTTAGGGGAAAAACAGCTGTTAGAAAATAAGCAAACGAATAGTCAGAAAATTAACTTCATGCTGAAAAATAATGGATGTGAAAGCAAACAGACCACCCAGAGGCTACTTATTATATTTGGATGGATAAACTAACATCAGCTAGGGAAAAAGAGAAGATCCAGGAGAGCTGCAGAAGTGCTCAGATTTGAGAACTGTTTCAGAGACAGGATGAAGGACATGTAATGCAGAGGCACAGTGAAAACACCATATGACTTAGCAGTGAGTAATATTTGCAGAGTCATAATCATGTAA